CACATAACTCATGAACACAGACTTTTAAAGGCTGCAGAGTCAGAAAAGCTTATGGAGTGGTTTTTTGTTTAACCATTTGCTAAAGCAATCTGCCCTTTGAGCAGACTGTTGACATGCCTTAACTCTTCTCTCCCCACAAGATTTGAAGTTTTTCAGATGTCCCAGAATACTAAAAAAATAAGTAGATTTTTCAAAGAAATCAAACAAAACTTTTAGGAGGAAAGCAAAAGTCTGTTGCATTACACTAATTACAAGAGTTACTCCATTAAAGAAACCCATTGCTGTTAATGTAATTTTAGACCACATTTTGTTCATCTTTCTCTCTCACGCACAACTGTCCTTGATACCAAAATTCCTTCACATTCAAAGGGCAAAATGCAGAAACTTTGCCAGCTTGTGCTCTACTTCTCAAATCTCCTTTGAGTCTTCCATGATTTGAAAAGTCCATTAATGTATAGAAATAGACAACACTGCCACCAAAAAAAAAAAAATCTTACTTCCCTCTCTACCTAGATGATCATTCCCACTCAACTCTCCATTTATGTTCAATGAACAGAACAGTTTTTAGCTGGATCAGTTTCCAGATTAACAAAAAATAAAATGTTCATTTCAATAAGGAAACACATTAATCTTGTATATGTGGAGAAAAAAGTAAGTTCCCTTTCCTTCCAAACATAAAGCAAGGATGAAACTCCAGATCCACAAGATATTTCAATAAAAACAACCTCATTACTGTTGAACACTGCTAGTGCCTAATACAATTGAGCTTTGATGCAGCTAACACTCAGTCACAAAATGTGCCATTTCCAATTTAATTGTCCAATTCTCCAGCAAAAATAAGTTGGTAGCTAAAAACAGAACGAGGGAAGAAGGGAAGGAGGAGAAAGGACAGATGCCCAAGGTAGTGGTGGGGAAATACCTAGATCAGCACAAGTCTGTTAATCCACAGGGGAACCTTTGAGCCACTAATTAACTGAGAAATTATGCAGTAACAAAATTACCTCAGATGTTCTCAGCAGAGAAGTTCAAATGTCTTGAGAAACTTAGAACAAGACACAACAAATTTTATTTTACTTGCAGTGGAAAAGCCCTGAGTAGTATGAATAGATATTTTAGAGAGTTTGTAATAAGACTGTACTTCTGATTAACATCTTTTTCAGAAGATAGGTAATTTAAGCTTTAAAACCAACTTCAAGTAGTAATTGCCTTGGTTATAACATAAAAGACTGTAGTCAAATCCAGTCAAAGACAAGCAGCTTTGATGCACTGTAGAAATACTTATGAGAGTCACTTTACCAGAGGTTACCAGGTCTTCAGATCCATGCTTGGAACTACAAAATACAATTAGACAGGCCTTATACTGTATATTAGAAGGGTATTTTGGTATTTCATATCCAAATATACATTTCCAGGAGTGCTTAGGATTAAACCCTACAGAGATTTTAAGGACCAAATAAGAAGCAGGAGGTACTTTTTGACCTATATAAAGTACCTCTAACGTATTTTAAAAAAGGATACATCAAATTATTCTCTTAAACATTATCTTTGGCTATAAAAAAAAAAAAACAAAACTTCCAAAAACCAAAACAGTTGGCCAAGCTGGGATTTGAGAATTTAAAGCAATAAACACACATTCTTATCCAGAATTTAGATAAGCTAATTACTCATGAAAATAAACTGCAGAGAAGAGGGAGATACTTGATACATTGGGAGTGTGGGGGGGCTCACAAGGACACCGAGTAGCTCCTCCTGCTGTCATATACATTCCTCTGGAGAAGTTATGGAGCTTACATCCAGCCCACCAGTAACAACTGTTGCCTCTCAGTGCTGACACAACTTAGATTATTCCTCCTTCAGTACTAAAGCCATCACTACACTGAGTAAAACAAAGCTTCCCAACTCCAGTGTGCATTTTATTCTACCGCAGAGACTTGCTTGTCTCTGCAGTAGGAAAACAAAAAAAAAAACAATTTCAAAGACTTCCTAGAAGCTCCTCATTATAGACTGGAAAAGATATTTTCAACATAAAATGACAGAATAAGCAACTTGATGTATTTCAGAGAGCAGCACTCGCTACTAGAATGACTGTAAAGAAATCCATGAATCTATTAACATTATCTTCTGTACCTGCATTCTAGACATTTTATATGCATTTCATTCCATCTCTTAGGACGTCTGAAATTGAGCTGTCCAGTACAGGATGAACCAAGGTACAAGACATCAGCCTTTAATATATTCACATGCTTCGTTAGTCTGGGATTTGTCAGGGTTTTTTTAATGGGTAATACAAAATTCCACTGTGTATATGCCTACACTCCTTCCTTCCTCAAGATGAAATCTTCTGGTCATTCAGTTAAGTATCACAAGCAGCTTCAGAGGTTGTTAGCCATTTATGTATTTTAAGACATACTTCTGGGTACATGAGAAAAACCTCTAAATGCCCCCACATGTAAAAAGAACTTCAGCACAACCTCATCTTATACATTGCAGAATTTAAGTGGATAAGCAGTATAATTATCACAGCAGGAGGAAGGTTTTAAATAAGATATCTTCCAAGACTAAGTCAAAAAAATCACCAAATCCACAGAAAACCCAGTTCTAACAGTCAATGAACCACTTCTCCCCCATCTTTACATCACAAACCATCATTTGAAAAAAGCTATAGCAGAAGATCAAAAGAGATCAAAAAATAAGGGAGCGCTAGTCCACAAAATACTGTCTTGTTGCATTCTGATTGTATTTGCTATGTTAGAATGCTTTTAATTAGCTCTCAAGCAGCATTTCCAATATTGGGGTCAGGAGAAAAAATGCATTAAAAAAAAAAAGGCATGACAAAAGCATTTTGTCACTCATACTGATTATTTTTAAAGCACTTAAAATAACCTACCCATTTACAGAAGTGTTTTATATTCTTCACTGCAGTACAGAGATCTGGAGTAGTAGATGATAAACAAAGCAGCACTTCAATTTCTCACTAATGCAATGTGATCTACTTGGTCACTCAAAAAATACTTTAATTTTCATATAAATCGGTATAAAATTTTACTCATGTTGGATGCCTTCACAAGACACTGGTATTCTTGCTCTTTGTATAAGAAACCTTGATGAAATCTCAGGGGCAGACTATGGGAACAATCTTCTTTCACCCAAACTGCAGTTTAAAATACACAGGCAAGCACACAGAGATATATTTTGCAGCTCTACTGATCCCACAGAGCTTCTGCGAGTTCCAGGTCACAAAAGAATAAGCCCAACTAAAGAATCAAGCAGCAGTCACTCATTACATTACTGTTTACATCAGCTCCTTCCAGTTTAGCCATTGTTACCATCAGCAGAATGGTAAAATGTCCTGGTAGTTATCCTGAGACTAGGTTTTAACAGATATTGGACAAGGCTTCCAAATTAGAGGAATCTTGCATATCATTAACTAGCTTGATCTCTCTCCAAAGCACTTCTCACTAGATAATGTCAAAGACCAGAAGTGATGAAGAAAAAGAGATTAATCTTAGTACAAGTTACCATAAAGAAATGGTTCTGTAAGAAAGAGGAGAGAGTAGAAATAAAAAGGCACTTTAACAATATGGGGAATCACAATAACTGCAGAGCTAGAAAGATATTCCCTAAAAGAGATTTAAAAAAAATTAAATTCTACCATTTACTATTCACTACAGTGAGTTGGAAACAGGGTACAATAACACAGAAAAGCCAGGATGAATATAAAAAAAATCCAGTTTTAATACAGGAAGAACATACAATGACATTTGAATGCCACAAAAAACATATAGTATGAATGACCACTGAATTGAGACAAAAAATTTGAGGACAAAGATCACAGAGGATTTAGAAAATTATCAGTCAGTTATAAAGGTAACGGCTCACGCCTGAGTGCCAAGTTCGAAAAACAAAGTAAGACCACTGAGAAGATACTTCTGAAACATAAAACTGATTTAAGAAGATGTTGTCCAAAATACTGTACCTCCACACTTAGTACTGAAAGCTTCTACTTAATAAGTTTTGACTGCTGCTAATTTTTTTTTCTTGCATGCTTTAGCACCTGAAAATTTAAATAACCAGTTTAAACCCACTGATGATAGAAAATCCCCAACTGGCTGGACATGTCTGCAAGGCCACCAGTAATTAAAGTTAATATTCAGTAGTGTTTGGTATAAGCTTGCACAACACCTGCACACAATGAGCAAACAAATTAGATTTAAATTAACTAAGTATATAGTTAGGTATGTACTTGAATCCAGCACATCAGGCAACACAGTTCCACCCTGATCCCCTTCACCTCCCTGGCCTCACCTCTACATTGTGCAAACAGACTTTCCACAGCAATGTGATGACCCAGATGAAGGATGTAACATTAAGTTATTTTGTGCTTTAGTGGTTTATTTTTCATAAAGATCAATTTCCTGAATGTTTCAGAGTGAAGCCATGTAAACAGGCCTATCAACACAGCTGAGGGGACAGCGCAGGAAGTAACGAAATGCAGCAGTGGACTGAAAAGTCTTTAAACTGATTTTGCCACTAAGTATCTATCAAGAACCTCATAGGCATCCTTATTTTTGTGGGTTCCCCCTGCCAGTGGGATAGGGAACAGAACAGAGAGTAAAGAAAAAACAATGCAGTAAAACCCATGGGTTGAGATAAGTACAGTTTAATAATTGAAATAAACCAAAATATAATAATCATATTATAATAACAATTTCAATCTCCTAGTGTCCATTCATTACATAGAAAGCATCATTACAAAGTATTCTTCTTGGGAGACATGCAGGACACACTGGATGGGTGTAAAATGCAAGACTAGAATTAAATGTGGCATCTGCAGTTCCTTCTTATAGTTCAGGCATACTAGTAAGCCAACATAGGAAAGAGCACTCTAAAAATCCACAATAGCTTCTATTCAAAGATTTAAGGACACTGACAACATTTCTCTTTCAAAGAACCTGGGAAATTAAACAAAGCAATAGCTAGATGATTCACTGGAAGCTCACCTAACACATGTGAACTAGCATTCCTGGTTCCCACTGCATGTACAATAAAGTTGTGCATCAGGTTTCCAAGACTGGTGTGGTGTGAAAAAATGGGAAAAGACATTGATCTGGTAACAGAAGTCAAAGGCCATCTAAATATGTTAAGAAAAAGCAAACAAACAAAAAGAAATTAAGAGTTAATACTAAAACTTGCAGTTCTCTATTAAGATTTGCTGTAAGAGCAGGTTCTCATCAGTCACATTAGGAATACAGATATTTTTTCTTAAGTGCAATCTCACAGTTTCCCTATAGATCTGTTTATTGATTAATGTGAAGTATACACAGCCCATCAATATGTCCATCAGATGTTTTCATTCATCTTACTGTTTGTCTCTGAAAGGCAGCCAGCCACAACTACCTCAGTCACCACAGTGTACCCAAGACATAAGAAAAAACTCCCCTTTTCTTGCATGTGGTCTGATATATCAAGAGCAAACATGCATCAGGGTGGCAGAAGAGCAAGCAGGGTTAGTGTCCCACCTCTCCTATGGCCATGTGCAGGACCCCCAGACACCACACCACCAATGCAGCTTACTAACAGGAAAGAAGAAGACATTGTCCGAGCCTAAAATTCATCCCAAACAAACCTTGAGATTAATTGTCATCAGTGACAACTAATCTGTAAACCTGACACCATGTATGCAGCAACTTGAAATGCTGCTTTCAAAATGAAGACTCAATATTTTGTTCTTAATTCATCAAGCTCTGGCAGTTTCACTGAATGAAATTTTAAAAGCTGGCTGCAAAGGCAGCACCTTCTACTTTAATTTAACAGTGAGCAATGTAGCTTCACAACAAAAAGTTTGGAGCTTCTCAGACAAGCTTGAAAACAAAGAGGGGAAAAAATTTTAAATCCCTATGACAAATCCATGCAACTCTTCCAGGAGAGCTTATAAAAGTAATTTCAGATTAGAATGTCAAACCCATTTATGCATTGGCTAAAGTTTGAAAGCAAGTAAAACAATGCTTAGTGCAGCTGAGCTGAAATACAAAGGATTCAATAGCTGTTTTCATCTCCACTGAACAAAAACAAACACTGGCTCTACATTTGACACAAAACACTGAGCTCCATTTCCAAGATTACCTGCATGCAGCCCAACTATGCAAGTCTAACTTTAGAGCTTAATACAAACCAGTCAGCAACTGGCAGCTTTGTGTTGTAACTTAAGATACAAGCTTGATTTACTGTGACATTCATCACGTTTACATATAAGCAGGAACAGATAGTACTGTTTACACGACACTAATTGACACAGCAAAGTAGCAAGTTCTTAAATGGCTCAATAATGATTTGGTCCCTCAACTGAGACTAGTTATCTAGTTGATAAATTATTCCAAAAAGAAAGAAAACATCACAATCCATACCTTCTCAATACATTACCTCCACACAGATGTTCTACATAATAAGCACTCAGACCTTGTCTTGTAAACATCACAGTCCACAGAACCCGTACATTACTAACAGCCTTCTGTTCCACATCCTCATAAATAACATCTATAACATCTACAGAATTATTTCTGTTATATTAATAGTGGACTTAGTTGAAAAAGGGTGGAGGAAAAAGAATTTTCATTGACTTCTTAAGTAAAAGGTTCAAATGGAAAAGGATCTAAGAAGAAATTCCCCTCCCTGCATCACTCTGTGTGAAGGATACTAACACAGAACTTCAAACTATTAATTGAAACAATAAAAGAGAAGCTTAGAAGACTCATCCTCTTCAAACAAAGAGGGTAAAGCTTTACCTCATCAATCTTTTCAGCGTCTCAACATGAGTTACAAGGTTTAAATTTTTTTTTATTTCAGCTTCTGTTTTTATCTTTTCCATTTCTAAATGAACATAGAGCATGCAGTATGTGGCAAAACCTGAGGTGATCACACACCAATGGTATATCTGCCAAACATTTTAAATTTGTTATTATATTACATTGGTTTGAAGCAAAGCCTCAAGCAATGCTACACTGTCTAAGGTAAATTCTCACACAAACTATCATTGCATCAAAACGTATTTTATTATCCTACTATCGTATTTTATGTTTGTACTCGACATGTGTGTCATCTTTCACCCAACGGTCTCATATGGGATGGCGGGGAAGAGCAAGTAGAAACACGAACCAACAGAAAAGCACTTATCCCACGGGCAGCACGAATATTCCAGAGGCACGGGCGAACCCATCACCTACAAAGCTCTCCAAGTTTCTCCAGGATCACCGCGGTAATACCTGCACAGAGAGGAGCGGGGCAAAGCCCCAGAAATCCCGGGGCAGCGGCAGTCTCCAGGCCACGGGCACGGGACGGGCTGGCCGGCACCGGCGGAGCGCGGCATCCGCGGCGGGCGAGCACCGGCCCGGCACGGGCGGAGCTCCGCGGCCGCGGGAGCACGAGCCCCGCGCCAGCTCCCGCCGGAGCGGCGGCAAGCTCCGCTCCAGCTCCGCGGGGAGCGCGCCGGGCGGAAGGGAGAGCAGAAGAGAGGGAGAGGGCGGCGAGGCAGGACCCGACAGCGCGGACAGGCACAGCGAGGCCGCTGCCGCCGCTCCGGACCGCGGACCCTGCGGGCCGGGAGCGGCCCGGGGAGGAAGGCTCCGTCCCGCGGCGGGGCCCCGCGGAGCTGCGGGCTGGCAGCGGCGCGGCGGGACAAGCTGCCCGCAGCCGGCCCGGCGGGGCGCGCACCGAGTCCCGCCGTGGGGGCGTCGACAGTCCTGCCCCCTCGCCTCCGCCGTCGCGACCAAACCTGCGATCCCCTCCCAGCCCGGCTTCCCACGGTGCCTCACCTCCGGCAGCCGCTCGCCGCCGCCATCCTCCCGCTCAGCGCCGCCCGCTCCCGCCCGGCCCCGCTCCGGCCGCCGCCATTTTGCTCCCGAGCCCCAGGCTCGGCCGGGCAGCGGGAGCGCGCACGGCGCCTGCGCGGCGGCGGCGCTGCGGCGCACGAGCCACGTGGTCGGGGGGCGGGGCCGGGGCTGTGGGGGCGGGGTCGGGCCGGCGGGGCTCGGTGGGGCTCGGGGAGCTCGGGCCGCTCGGGCCGCTCGGGCGGCGCGGGGAGCTCGGTGAGCTCGGTAAGCTAGGGGCTTTTCCCCGCACGGCTGGTCTGAGATCGTGGGGAAAAGTCGAGTCTGGCCCGTGTGCCCCAGCCGCGATCCCCGTTCCACCGCCGCGTGCCCTGCCCGTCCGTGTGACACATCTCCCGAGCCTGTTGCCGTGCCCAGATGCAGAGGTGTCTGCGATGCGAGTGGCGTGTCAGCGCGTGTTCTTTGTCCTTGAGACTAACGTAAGCTGCTTATATGAAGCTTATGTCTGTCTCCTTGTTTTACTAAGCTGCCATGAGCTTGTTAGAGGCAGGGCACAGTCAGATTCCAGTTTTATTGTTCATACTAGGAATATATACTGCTCACCTGGAAATAAACTCTCACCACCTTTCCAGCTTCTGATAATCCCTCTCAGCATGAGAAATTAGTATTTCATTCGTCTAGGTGAAAGTAGGTGCCAGCAGCAAAAATACTTCTAGATATTCCCACCATTGCTGATACCACGCCAGCTACATTTTCTTCAAAGGAAGGTGTGTGTGATACAGTCAGGATCAGCAGGTATCTGCCACCGTGTCTGTAAAATCACTGTTTCCTAAATCAGTGAGAGTGACCAAGAATACATATCAGCATTTTATTAGAACAATAAAAACTCTTAAGTGAATTGAACAACTTGTGCCCACTAAAAGAACAAAGCACCACATGTCTATATATGAGAAGGTCTGAGAAAAGTTCCATGCATTGGCCAAAAATCTGATTAAATCACATGCTAGAAAATACTCAGCAAGCTGAATGCCACATCTATGATTATTCCTGGTTGGTAAAAGCAAACTATGACTGATTACATCCCCTCCTGATTCTGCTGACAGTCCATTTCTGAAGGGAAGCCTTCCTCCCACTTGGCATCCTGCTGTCCTCCATCTCTGTAATTAACTTGCCTGGATGCTGCAGACCTCCCTAACTACCACTTGGCAGAGCATCCCGTAGTGCTCAGCAGCTTACCAAGGAGCTAGGGATAAAAACACTTCTGATATATTTGCCCATGCTGTAGACTGTTTTCATACTGGTTTCAGCCTAAAAACAGAGAAGTGCAGTTGGCTTTATAGACAGTATCATGTACACCTTGGGGTTTTAACCATCTTAGTTATTCATATGTTCTCTGATATTGTTGTATATGGGAGCATCTCAGCCTTTGACTTCCATATCTGCACAGTACCAGAGATGAAGGAATTCTTATAATTGGAATTTAATCGATGAAGTTCATGCTGTCAGGGTTATGCTTGTATCTGTTCAAGGGAGGCTATTTCTTGTAAATGGGATATCTTTGCAAGCTGTTGTTGCTGTTGTTGCTGTTGTCATGAGAGCTCATAAAACTGACTAGCTCATATTGCCTACTAGAGCCTTCCCACCTTCTATTTCTGTCTCTTTTCTTGCCCTAAGCCTGCTTTCCATTTCCTGTTATTAGGAACGCTGATATGGAATACCATATAGACAGTGTTCGCCTTGGTTTTATTTTACCCTGTTTTTCTGTAGAATTGTGTTATATATGTTCATATTGCCTGCCTGGACATATAAGGATTTAGGTCTATGACCTCTGTGCTAAAATATTTTTGATTCGATCCATTTCTCATTTGCGTCCTTATGAATGCTGCAACTTCAGGAAAGGCTGAGGCACCAAAGTCAGGCAACCAACAGACAGAAACGATTGCAAATTAAACTGCAGTAGTTTCAAAACACATGGAACTGTTAATTTAAGTGTATCTGTTAGGAGAAATTGTTACAGATGAGGTTCTTAAATATTAACAGTGTGAGACAACCCCAGCATCTCTATGTCATTCATGATTTACAGTATCATTGTTACAATTTTAGCAGTGGTTTGCTGAGAGCAGCAGAGAAGTAAGAACGAGTTGAAGTTAAATAAGTAAGGGTCAGGTCACAGAGCTCTCAGAATGAAAGAAAGTAGTTCCCCAGCTTGGTTTTAAGGTTTCAGAAGAACCAGTTATGGATTTGTTCCTGAAGTTCTGTTGTTAGGTGAAAAAGACCAGTCAATTCTCCAGCAAGCCTAACTCATAATCTTCTAGATAATGAAAATGAGAAAGGAAAAGAAGACTTGCAGGCTGAATATTTGTTTTGTTAGTCTTCTTTTTTAGTATTTAATATCATTAACTAGAATGTAGTCAAAAGGGATGGTTAGATTAAAGTACAAAGATCTTGCTCTGCAGTAGTCATCCTTCTAGTAACTAAAATAAACCTCCTTTCTTATGACTCAGAGACAAACAGTGTGTTGGGTAACAACTTAGGGGAGACATCTGGCAGGTTGGAAGTGAGGATGGCTACCATGTGCTTTCTTTTATTTTAGACTTTAAAGCATAGAGGTCACCCCTTGATTGCAGCACACTGACATTGTCTTTGAGCATTCTGTGGTCTCATGGACCAGACAGCTGGGAAGCACACTGAAGTAAGCTGATTAACTCCTTCTGCCACCTGGGATCTTGGTGCAGAAGACAGGTATAAAACACTGAGTTACAAACCTTGCTGTGGAGGAGTGGGAAGTGGAAGCTAATTGCATTTACATGCAGGTAATGTGTTTTCTGAGATGAGAGGATAGGAGATTCACACTGTCTGACAAACACCCCCAGAGCATGTGCACTCGCATCACTTCCCTGTTCATTTAATTATAATACTCACTCCACATTCTGAGAAATAAATTAATCTTCCATTTTTATCAGGATTTAGATATGTTTGGTTTGATCAATTTAAAATAATCTCTTGATGTCCCAGTGAGTAAAATCTTATATATGCCTTAAATATTGTAAAATGTCATATCCTCTTTAGAACAAAGAGCAGAGTGAGAATCTGTCTGAGCTGCACAACAGTTCTCAGTACCTCTGCTCATACAGAATGATTCATGTTTTTGCAGGGACTTCTATAAAATACTTACTGATGATAATCACTGTACATATACAGTGCATTTTATCTACAAATTCAAGAGTGTTAGAAAAAATTGATTATGTGCCACAACTTACCAAAAATAAAACCAACCCTATGTGTTGTAGTTCACTTACCCTTCATTTGCACTAGGAAGATCAAGCTTTGAAATGCCCTTTGGATGATATTTATCACAGTTTATTGAAGGGAAAATACACTTGGGAAAAAAACCCCAACGAGTTCACTTCAATTGCTTCATTTTTTTTTTTTTATGATTAATTTCTTAGACTTTTAGATGTTTCATTTTATTTCCATTCCAAATGTGTACTGTTTGTGGTTATTAATAACATGTTTATTGGTGTGTTGTGTGGAGGCTGTAATCAACGCCAGGGTCCCTCTGTGCTGGATGGTCTGCCAAACACATATTACAGTACATGAGCTAGAAAATTTATCTGTCAGCTGGAAGGTGTGATCATGGAAGGTACCTCCTGCAAACCAGTGAGAAAACCAAATGTGTGTAGTTTTCAGTGAGAGCTGGGTCATGCCATGTGTTGCAGAAGGTACCTCTAGGTACCATGCCTACTAGAGAAATAATGTCAGTTGCACTAGTTAGAAAATATGGTTCTGTCTTGCAGTAAATAACACAGTTTTATTCAGGACCATTTCAAGTGTGACTTTCTACCATTGAAGATAAAATCCTTAAGTCCAGTTT